CGGCATTCAGACATACACTGCAATGTTCTGTCTCGCCTTAGTGTGTATCCCTTTGTCTCTCATATGGGTCAACATCTCAAAGCTTCTAGTTTTGGTTGGCCAAGACCCCTTGATTTCACACGAAGCCGGTAGATATGCAACTTGCCTCATCCCCGCCCTGTTTGCTTACGCCGTTCTTCAGCCGCTCACTCGTTACTTTCAGAACCAGAGCTTGATCAGGCCTCTGCTCATCTCCTCGTTCATTGCCCTGTGTGTCCACGTTCCTCTTTGCTGGCTTTTGGTTTACAAGTCCGGGCTTCGAAATCTTGGAGGAGCTGTTGCCTTCAGTCTGTCCATCTGGGTGAATGTCATTATTCTTGGATCATTCATGAGGTACTCCTCCGCCTGTTCTGCAACACGTGCCAAGCTATCCATGGAGATATTCCATGGCATAGGGGAGTTCTTCAGATATGCTTTCGCTTCTGCGGCAATGGTTTGGTACTCAAAATATTTTAGTGGCTTTTGTGTTACTTACCTCTCGTCTTTGCGCCTTCTTTGCTGTTCTTCACCCTTTAACTCATACTTGTTGCAGCCTAGAGTGGTGGTCATATGAATTCCTGATACTATTCTCGGGTCTTTTACCGAATCCACAACTGGAAACTTCTGTGCTGTCTATCTGGTTAGCACATCCTTTTTCGCTTTATCCCTTCGCGACAAAATTTTAGCTTCATACCATAGAATCTTAAATGTTTCTAACAAAAGGTTTCTTTATGAAAACATTTGCGGGCAGTCTTCAGACAGTTTCATCGATCTACTCATTGCCGCTTGCAATTGGTGCTGCGGGAAGGTAAGCTCCAATCTCCGAACAATGCCTATATAATGAAATCTTACAGTAGAATATCGACAAGTGAGAATTCTCTCTGTGCAGCACACGAGTATCAAATGAATTAGGTGCAGGGAACTCTCGAGCAGCGCATATCGCAGTTTATGCCGCAATGTCTCTCGCAGTGATTGAGACGCTCGTTGTGAGTACATCCCTCTTCTTCGGCAGGCACATCTTTGGCTATGTTTTCAGCAACGAGAAGGCAACAGTCGATTATGTCGCAACTTTGGCTCCTCTTGTCTCTATTTCTCTCATATTGGATGGCTTGCAAGGGGTTCTCTCAGGTCCAATGCTCTTCTTCTCTCTTCTCGTTCTTTTCCTTGTATACACTGCCGATCTTTGAAAAATAGAGAACGTAGGAATAAGAGAGAAGAAAAGAGACAGGGAGTTAGACCTAAACTCACATGGAAACGGAGTGATTAGTAATGACTTGAAGTGTCTACAAATTTCGTAAGGTTTAACTTAAAACCGAAATGAATGGAGGAAGATAATTCATGCGGCAGATCCCAAATAAAATTGGGATTAAGGCGGTGTTGTTGTTGTTATATACTGACATCGTCATTCTCCCCCTTTAGATCATATCTTGCATTTATTGAGGTTGTCCAGTTACCCAAACAAACGGTCAATCCAATGCTCTTATTCTCTGTGACAAGATAGATACATAGTCTCTTGTCACAGTTACAAATTAAGGAAGGAAGTAAGCCATTGCACCGTTCTGTAGGTATTGCGAGGGGATGTGGATGGCAACATATAGGGGCATATATCAATCTAGGAGCTTTCTATCTCTTGGGAATTCCCCTTGCTGCAGTTTTAGCCTTCTGGTTACATCTGAAAGGCGTTGGCCTTTGGGTTGGAATACAGAGCGGTGCGCTTCTGCAAACGGTTCTGCTCGCCGTCGTCACTGGCTGCACCAGTTGGGAAGATCAGGTCTGTTATATACATATATAATGCAGATGCTCTGTTTTTTTTTTTGTGTGGATGAATGTCTGAAATGGATGCATTGTGAACTCCAGGTCCGTGAGGCAAGGAAGAGAATGTCTCTGGGGAACCCACAGGCCGAGGAAGAACAGCTACTGAGCCGAAACTGAGTTTCTTGTTTCAGGCGGTTCATTCCAATGTCTTGCCCGTTATTTATAGCATGTTGTCACACTCCGTTGCCTCCTTTTTGTAGCCGTGAACGTTTTTTGCTAATAAATGAAGATTGATGTCAATCCCCTGCAGGCCTTAGAACAAAACTACTGAACCTAAACTGATGGGCTTCTTGGATTTAGTATTATAGTTATTTAGTTTTATCACTTTAAGACATTATATTATTTAGAGAATATAATGACGGTCCATTGAAGAGAAGGTCAATTTGGGTTATAGAAGGTTAACTTGTCAAACAAGAAACCTTTGTTTAAAAAGTTGTGATTAGGTTAAGTGACAGAGTGACTTTCAATAGGAGTTTGATCCCATCCTGGGTTATCCATTATAAAAAAATAATAATAATCATGATTAATATTCAACCCCGAGACAATAATAACATCAAATAGAGATGTAGTAGAATCGTTTCATTCAGTTTATGGTGGGGGTGATATTGGCGACGGGTCCTGTAAACCAATGGCGAGCACTGAGAAGCCAAGAAGAGATAGAGAGGAGGAGGAAGCCACCGACGGCGACGGGAGTGTAATTGAGTGTCTCTGAGGTCACTGGGAATGCCACCGGCAGCGAGAAGAGCACTGAGATGGTCGCAACCCATAGAACCGCCACCCACCCGACCGCCAGAGCGAACCGGCCGCCGCCCAGGTTGAAGGGCCCTGCTTTGAATCTGTTACGAGCCAATGTCACTCTTAGGAATATAGGTATTGCGTATGCTATGTACAATCCGATTGTCGCTATTGACACCATTGCCTGAAACGCTACAAGACTCCCCAGCGACTGTAACCACACGGACAAACACAAAACTATGTTGGTATAACCAAAGATATGGACAAGGAGATAGAGGTGACACATGTGTGTGTGTTCTTACAGTGAGAGCCATGCAGAAGGAGATGAATGCCGATAGCCACACTGCGTTTATGGGCACCTCATGTTTGTTCACTCTGTGCCATAAACCCGACCAAGGCATCGCCCCGTCTCTCGAAAACGCATAAGCCATTCTGTTCTTTTTTTTTTTTGGTTAAAAACCCATGGTTAGATGCGGAATTTTCACACTTAACACCCCATAAGGACGATTTGACTACCTGGAATTGCTGGTGACAGAGCTCATCCCGCAGAAGAATATGGCCACGGCTACCACCCCCAAGCACAAGATTCCCCCCGTCCCACTCCCGAACCTGTTCTTGAAAGCCATGTAGAAGATCTCGGCAATGGGGTACCCACCAGAGTTGTTGCTCTCGCTCAACAGGTATGGGATGTCTGTCACTGCATAGCTTATGCCCACTATATATCCCCAACCGAATAGTATCGAGATTCCAATCGCGCTTATTATTCCTTTCGGCCCGTTCTTGTCCGCGCTCTTCGTCTCCTCTGTCTGCACGTTGGATACATCAAGAACACGACCAGAACATGATACATTTGAAAACACAAACATTAAAAGCTGATTCTTACCATGTGGGCAGAGGCATCGTACCCTGTGATGGTATATTGGCTCATCAGAAGTCCAAGAAGGAACATGTAAGGCTTGCTGCTAATTCCAACGCCATTATCAGTGTTGAAATTACTGAACACAAATTCAGTGCTGGCTCTTTCCGTGGAGACCGAAGGAATCAGAATCATGAGCACCAATACACCTGAAATCGCCCATAGAACGTAACAAAATCATTGAACCGATTGAACAAAAACATGAGGAGAGGGGGAAAAGAGGAGACTGGAGAGATACCGAGAAGATTCCAGAGAGCAGCAAGCTGGCCGATGAAAGACAAGACAGAGATGGGGAGGCTGTTGAGGATGGCGTGAGTGAAGAGGACTCCGGCATGAATGGCGATGACTACGTATTTGGACGCTTCGTATCCGCCTCCGCTCTTTCCGCCAGTGGCGAGAAGCACGATCACCTGAATCAGCTGAGCCAGAGAGAAATCCACGCTCGTGGTGACAGCCCACTGCGCAATCATTTGCAAAACCCATCGTATGCTGAATTGAATTCACCCTGAATGAACGAGGACAATAGAGGAGAAATCAAATCTAACCTGACCGACAATGTTGAACCTGCAAACAGAGAATAAGAAGACGCATTAGGATCTGGCTTGACCATAAGAAAAACGGAAGAGAAAAGGTGGAAGCAGCAGCAGCACCAGCCGGTCATCCAGGAAGCGAAAGGAGCCCAGGCGGGACCGGCGAGCTTGGCGCTCCAGTAGTAGAGACCGCCGGAAGTAGGGTAAGAGGAGCAGATCTCAGCCATGGATAAGCCGACGCACATGGTGAAGGCCCCCGCCAGGAACCATCCGTAGACCATGCTCACAGTGCCACCGAATCTCAGGCCCGTGTTGTAAGTCGTGGTTATCCCCGTCAACACCGATATGATCGAGAACGATATCGCGAAGTTGGAGAACACCCTGCAAGATCAAATCGGTTATCATTTTTTGGGATCTGAAAATGGAGAGAGAGGAGAGAGGGTGGGTGGTGTTACGAGAGGTCGCGCTTGAGCTCTTGCTTGTAGCCGAGCTCCCTGAGGCGGGACTGGCCGGAATCCACCTCCACTGGTTCGCCGGAGACACCCATGGCGACCAAAACCCGATGGAAGATTAGCTTGTGTTTGGGAGGAAGATATAGAGATTAAGTATCCCCGCTTTCTGGGAATACTTCTTATTTCTTTCTCTGTAGAGAGATAAGACAGATTGATTGCATTGTGGATTTGAGTGTCCATACTTTGGCTAATAATTATAGAAGATTTATAATATTTTATTTCAAAAAAATAAATATTTTATCACTAAAAATCAGTATAAAAAATGAATAGTCATATTTTTTTCTAAATCCGAAATAAAATAATCGAATATAATAAATATAATAAGCCACCCCTACGTCGAACCCAATCATTTCATCCATGTTTGAATTTCAACGATTTTGGAGTCAACGTGATCGATCTGACGTAAGCATTTCATCACGTGCCCAATAAACAAAAGGACGAGAAAAAGGATCAAACAAACAGTACAATTAAATCCTTGTTCCAATGTTTGGACCCATCAGGTGAAAAAACACGTCACGCCAAGGCTCTAACAGCGTACAAAAACACAAACTACATCCATCACCTCTTCTCTTCTACAAATCCATACATATGTGTATATATATATGTATGTATCGGTTTTTCACCTTCAGTGGGTATCGAGCATCCGAGATGTATCACGGGTGTTGCTTCTCGATACTTCCCTCGAACTATCGTCTTCTTCCACGTACACCGACTCCAGCTCCGTCTGATTCTGCCTAACGCTCAGATGATTCGCACCCGCGGTCGTTTGGACTGCGTCTCTAGACTCCGCCAGCATCTGGAAGTAGGCATGAGGTCCCCACCCTGTACAGAGACGGCTTTTTCTAAATGATATCCAACCCATACCGAGTATGGAGATTAAAACCAGTGACAATTATTGCATAAGTTGCGTACCATCTGGATCATATGGAGGCGGGAAAAATTGCAGGTAACAAAACGAGGCCACCGTCAGCCCTGGACATTGGAAGCAATGTAAGGACATGCGACATGTTCCATAACTGATGAAATTGTTTTGAATATAACGTGCAAGGACAAGAGTTCAACAGACCTATGATGGCTCCACCAAAGACATCTTGCCAATGATGCCAGTAGTCATCAACTCGGGAAACACCGACTAAGGCTGCCACCAGTAGAGGTAGGAAAACTATGCAGAGTTTCGCGACATGGCCTCTACGGTCAAATGCTCTGACTTTCCCGGACAAATACCAAGCAAGAAATCCAAGACCAGCAAAGGACCCTGGGGTGTAGGTATGATCAAAAAGGGTTATTTGAGGAAAGAACTCTGCATAATCATAGAAGACTATGATGCCCCACACACATGCAAAGAACTCAGCTACATTCATAAAACATCAACCAATCATAGATTTGGTTAACATGGAATCTCAAGATGTCACCATGCTACTAAGATCACTATAGCTACGAATGACTCTACAATTCTAAGCATGAACATAGACTGTTCTGAGCCAGAATCGTTTTCAACAAACTCGGGTAGGACACAAACCTTAATCTGGAAACCAAATGGACGTAACCGACAAGTTTATAAGCCATCAAAACAATGCCATTCTAATGTGTGATTGTTACGGTTCCGGGTTATGGATCTCATTATGGGTCTGGGGATAGGAAATCGATGGGTATTTTGATGATTTGGCTGGGGTTTTTCTTCTTCCGACCTATGATTACTGTAATTCAGGCTCATGAGAGGGAACCTAATAACCTCTTGAGACTAAAGTGCTCAAAAACTGAATTGGATTTTCAAGATATCCTTTTTCCATTCACTTCTTAGCATTTAAAAGTGTACAAACGTAAGGGAAGTAACTTCTCCTAATAACAAGGAAATAAAACTACCCAAGTCCTCTCGCTACAGAGAAACGGAAAACAAAGCTGGAAGAAAAATGCAGAACATAAAAAGTAAAAGAAACTTTCTGCCAGCTCACTTCTTAGGTGTCACTTCAGTGGTTTGCTAACAGTGATCTAATGCTCAGATTAAAAAAAATAGCATGTGATGACTAGAAGATAGAGAAGAGGAAGGGAGTTAGGAGCCAGTTGATCAACTCAGTTCACGGCACAGAAACACAGAGTCAGCACTATCATTCATGGTAGAGTTATCATGCACAACAAGCCCCTATACAGGTGGAAGAAACGAGCAAAAAAACACTCGTACCAGACGTGTGCCCGCTGGGAAAGCTTTTATGCCCCTCTTTGATGACGCCCTTGTCTCCAGTACAAATAACGTTCCTCGTGACATTGTGAAAGACCTGGGAAAGCCGATCAACAACGGACACTTAGCGTCCCTTCATGTATTTCCAGGCCTGAGTAAGAGCATGCCGGGAGATTAAGTTGCTTACCCCTTTTCCGTCAGGGAAACAACGCCAAAAGAAGTCGGGACGAGGTCGACCGACAGCATCCTTTATAGCATCGGTTATGACGGCAGTTATAAGTACAGAGTAAAGAAGACCTGAAAATTAAAGCAAGACTCAGCAATCCATGGCTGCAATGAAGCATCTGAAAAAGTAGAAGTCAAAAAGGGAAAAAGAAAGAGCTACCCAATATAGCATGATGCAGATCGTAAACGTCTCTTCTGATGAAATAGTAAACAGAAATGACAGAGAAAGGTAGGACTATTGCTATCAACTGTCATGACACAACACAGAAACAAAACACATTGAAGAGGAATCCAGAATGCTGTTAAGGTTGAAACACAGAAGCAGGAAACCATCAACACACCCACCGGGACAGCCCAAAAGGGAACGGTGTTGTCTTGCAAAGGGTATTTCAGGTCTGTCAGCATATCCTCTCCGACAAAGCGGTGAAAAGGTTCGATAACATTCAGAACGATCACGACGACAACGAGCAGCACGAGAATGAGCCAGTCATGCATGTGAATCTTCGCAACTCTGGCTCCATGGGATCTGATTGTGTGAGCGCCCAACTGAATTTCAGGCATCGTTATCTACAAGACTACAATACCCAACAAGAAATGAACCAAATCTCCGTGAACAAACCTTGGAATTTTGAAACGAATGAAGGATTAGCAACAAAAACCAAGGGGAGAAAACTAAAATCCACGAAATTCGAACCCTAGCAAACGATACGCTCCAACGTTATGGAGCTTTCCCGCCCTCAGCGTATCAAAAAAACCGCACTGCTTCTCCTTCCTTAACGTTTCTCGTAAGGTGAAGTGAAAAGACAAAATCCACTATCCTTAGTCCTCAACAAATGCATCAGTTACTAGAAACAGAACCGTCGTAAGCTAAGGCAGCAGCAGAAGGAAGCGCAACAGGAACTGTAAGTAGTACGGGAAGAAGACGACTGTACCTTTCAGCGTTGGGGGGTTTGGAGAGACATATGGGAAAAATGCTGCGCTGGGGTAATCGGGTCTTCACTTTCTAGGGAAAATTCGCAGGGGAAATTGTTCCAAGAAAGTGAGCCATCGACGCGCAGGAAAAAAAATTATTTTATTTTCGAATTGGTCCATAAAGGGAAAATCACCTCTTTATGTGGCTTTTTCTCCTCAGCGATCACGGTTTGGTTTTTTGAATTTGAAGGGAAGATGAAATGGTTCCGAGTCCGGCTGCCGGCTGCCGAGTTGGTCAAATCACTCAACTATAAGTAGAAATTATAATTGCAAAGCACTAATTAATTCTAAATACAGTTATAATTGATTTCAAATGAGGTGACAAAAAATACATCTTATTGTGTATAAGATTTTTAGTTGTTATATGATTAGAAATATTCTTTTTTAGTCGTATACTAGTTATATAACAGTTATAATAAAATCATAAAAAATATGAAAGAAATGTTATTTCGAACTTTTTGAACGAAAAAATGATATAGAATTGAAAAAAAAATTAATATTTTTTTTTATGTATCGGTGAAATTGCTGCTATAAGTTTGGTATATTTGAGTGATTTTCTCTACCGAGTTGCTAGGGGCATTTCTGAAAATAATGTACCCTTTTTTAAAATTCGGAAAGGAAAAATAACCAAAAACCAATTGCAAGCATTTTGAGTAACTGTGCGGATAGGGGTGGGAGGGTCCTTGTACATTCGGTTCGAATTCTGTTTAGATTTTTTTTATTCTATAAAAATATTTGTTATATACCAATGCCGGATCCAAATATATATATATATATATATGATTAGGGATAATATTACGAGTTTTATAAATAAATTAATTTTTTTTAATTAGACAAATGGATATGTGATCATATATCTCAAAGTATAGATCCATCCTATGATATCAACTAATTATATCATATTCGATTAGTTTTGATTTTAGTTTGGTTTAGTTTGGTTTCGGTTTTAAGAAAATTAGATTTTCTTAAAAAATAATTCAATGTTTCAAATTTTTGTAAAGTTCAGTTTTAATAAGATTATGAAAATTTTTATTCTTTAAAAATACTATTATTCGAAAATTTTGAACGGTTCAATTTAGAAACGATATTTTATTTTTCGGTTTGATACCATTCCATTCCAAAAAACCTTACCCACAAGCCCCTAATTGTGGAGACAATTATTGGTTTTGGTCACCCACTACATTGTACAAAGAAATGAATACAATAACAACAAAGACACCGAGAATATATACTTACATACTTTTGAGTATTACCAATTGGATAACATAAAAACGATCTCATTACAAGACAAGATGTGCTGCAAAAAATTATAAACCAAAAGGATCTCGGATTTTTTTTTTTCATATGTAAGCTACATGACAAATGAATATTTAAATTTATGCTCATAAATACAAATGGCATGGCTTCTATATTTTCCCATTGCGTTTTTACAACTAGACGTGGAATGGAAACAAATAACAAAGATTACGTATCAAACATTTGGGAGTTGATCAAAGCTATGAAATATGAATGATGGTAGTTTTTTTGTTTTTGTAATATTTATAAAACAAAAAAAAATGAAACTTTTGATTTTTAATTGATTTTTACATTAAAATAATTTCCTAAATTTATAAAACATGAGTTATTAATTTTTTTAAAAAAAATTTAAGAGCATCCATTCAACCCAAATAAAATAATCCCCAACGAAAATAGACGGTCATGAATGGGTTTCGGTCGTGGGCCCATTACTATTTGAGTATTCATCAAATAGGGCTTCATAAATACTTGGGCTTGGACACATATGTATCTAGTGGGCCCACTACTACTAGAATGAAATTACCTTATCTATAAGAAAACGATTTATGAAAAAATCAGAGTACAATTTCCCGAATTTTAATTCATTTTTTAATGCCAACATTAAAAAACAATAGGAATATATTCTCTTTAAATTTTAACAAGAGCAATCACGAAGGAATATAAATGTATCAATCTGTTAGCCTAATGATGGCATATGCTCTGAGGTCACACACACTTTGATGGGCTTTGAATATCTAAAAGGCAACTTTTTGAACCAAATATAATCTAAAATCTAAAATTATTCTTTTCAAATTTAATTTCCACCAAAAGTTTTAAATTAACGTCTACGTCACTCTCTAGTTGCTTGCTTTTCCTTCTATGATCTATCGTATAATTTGTGTGAAAGTTTTTAAGTGAAGCAACTACAAAAAAAAAACACCAATTTTTGCGGGTTTACTATAAACGGATAAATAATATAATTTTTTTTATATAAACCACAACTTCACCGGATCTTCAACGATCGGAGATAACCCAGATTATGTATATATAATATAGGAAAGAAGATATATGACAACCAACAAATCCGTAACTCTTTCCTTAGTCAATGATTGTAATCTCGTAGATATGATTGTCCATTATTCTCTCCTAAACCACAGCAACAACCTCTTGTATAAATCTAATGTAATACTCATAACATAATGCATTGAAAGATTATTCTCTATATGGTATCAGAGCCTCTCAAAATCATACGACAAAACCCTAAGCTCTTCCTTATTTTTCCAGCCAACTGCTGCATGACTACTCACCTGAAAATCAATCGTAATTACCTTCACCACCACGCAACACCCACCGCATGACTACTCGAGCCAAAAATAACATCACCAAGCCTACTCCTAAATTCACCCTTACCACCTCATTATCTCCTACCATAAACCAAGAACCGACGTGTGTTAAAGAAGCCTTGAAAGATGCCAATTGGCGAAAGGCAATGGCGGACGAATTCAATGCGTTGGTTTGGAATGGAACTTGGACGCTTGTGCCTCCAAATTCACCCTACAATTTGGTTGGTTGCAAATGGGTATTCCGACTAAAACGTGATTCTAACGGTTTCATTGACAGGCATAAAGCGAGACTAGTCGCCAAAGGATTTCACCAATGTCCGGGACTCGACTATACAGAGACATTCAGTCCCGTGATCAAGGCTGCAACTATCCGTGTCATTATCACCATAGCAGTCGAGAAAGGCTGGGATTTACGACAAATCGATGTGAACAATGCCTTCTTACAAGGCTCTCTCCATGATGATGTCTATATGGTGCAACCCCCAGGATTCGTCGACAAAGACCGGCCATCGTATGTATGCAAGTTACACAAGGCGTTATACGGACTTAAACAAGCCCCCAGAGCTTGGTACAATGAGCTCCGCCAATTTCTACTTCACTCCGGATTTGTCAACTCCTTATCGGACTCCTCTCTATTCATATATCATCAACACAATGTCACACTCTACCTTCTTGTTTTATGTTGATGATATTATCATCACCGGGAGCAACTCGGACGCGGTCCAAAGATTTATTGATGTTCTAGCACAACGCTTCTCCCTCAAAGACCTTGGAAAGCTATCGTTTTTCCTCGGTATTGAGGTGCATCGGAATTCCAAAGGCGTGCGTCTCACTCAACAACGATATATCTCGGATCTTCTAGCACTTATTCTTTAAATTTTATTTTTTGTACATTTTGACATGTGACGGATACCATCTCACGTGACTATAGTTTAAGTGACATTATATCAAAAATACATTTACTTTGCTATTTTGATTTCAAAGCATATACTTTTTTGATTGTGACCCTGAGATTCATGTGACAAGAAATTTAATCTTGGTTATTTTGATCATAACATTAAATTTGTAGTGATTATATTCATTCATTATATTCATACGTTTTATATCTCACTACTCAATTGATAAAAATATTATAAATTTAACGTTATGATTAAAATGATCAAAAGTAAATTTCTTGTTATATAGATTACCGAGTCACAGCTTGAAAGTCAAAATAACAAAATAAAGACCCGGATTAATTCCATGCGGGGATAGAATTTGGGTTGGGCTTTCTATGGGCCCGGTTACGGTATTTTTATTTCCGAAACCGGATAGAGGAGGCTCTATAAATGGAAACCGGTCGCGAATTCTCATCTCGATGTGGTAAATATGATTTCATTCAACAGTAAAAAAAAAAGATTAAAAAAAATTTGACTAGTGTAAGCTAAAGACTGCGGCAGTCAAAAAATGATTAGCATCTTTAAGAAAAATGAAATATGGTTATAAATAGGAAGTGGGAGTTAAAAGTAAACAAACAAAAAAAAACAATCTGCATGCTTTGACGACATCTCGGCCTCCGAGGGGGAAAAAGACCGAAACAACCGAAGGATGCCAGCTAAGATAAAGAGCTGTCATTTGTCTCCCAAGGGACCCACTCTCCCTTTTTTTATTAATTTAAATCATATTTTATGTAGATTAATAGCATTGGTTTTGACACCTAATTCAAACTTTTTTTTTTCCTGCAAACCCTTTAATAAGTTGTAACCCATTTTATCCTTTATTCGAAAACACGTTATCCTACGAATTATGTATAAAAAAAAATAGAAGCCACATGCCTTTTGGGCATGGCGACGATGTTACGACCCGATAATTTATTTATAGTTTAACAAAAAAAATAATTTATTTATAAAAAGAAAAGTCAACCCCCGCTGGCCTCGGACTGGTCCATTGCGCATGTAACCGCTGAAGCAAATATAAACTATGGGTTTTGTTTCCACCCAATGCAACCTACGTTTACATATTAATAATTTAATACGCGCATATACGCACTGATACGTGAGCGTCTCGTAATAAGCTATAACCTTACTCTTCTTTTTAATTTTTGGGAAAAATCCCCAAACTAATACTTAATTTCTCAATTTTCATAAAATAAAACCTAAATTTTCTTTTTTACCAAATAAAACCCCAACTTCATTTTTCAGTCAAAAATAAATTTAAATTTTATAATTTTTATCATTTTTAACTCTATTATTAACGTGATGTTTCGATATCGTGACACGTGGACGATTATATATCAAATACGGTCAACATATTGACTTGTCACGTAGAATATCGGAACGCCACGTCAGCAATAGGGTTAAAAATGATAAAGATTATAAAGTCCAAAATTTATTTTTGACTGACAAATGAAATTGGAGCTTTATTTGATAAAAACAAAGTTTAAGTTTTATTTTACGAAAATTGAGAAGTTTAGGTATTGTTTTTTTCTCAAAAAACTCTTATTTTTTTATAAGATCTATATTTTCTTTTTTTTTTGTCAACGGAATAAAGAAAGAAATCATGTTTTTCTTTTTTTTTTTATCGAACATGTTTCATATCCCTTGATTCAATTTTGCAATTGTTGCTTATAATTTTTTGTTTTTGTTTTTCTAATCACATTAAAATACAATTTGGATTCCATATTGTATACGAACAAGTGAATATGTTTCTTAACATCTTCTATTTTAGATGGGTATCCATAAAAAGTGCTACATCTTCTATTTTAACCCATCCTAAAACAAACTTTATCCAAAAAATATCCTTTAACAAAAAAGAAACGAATATGTTTCTTAAATAAATATTGTATACGTATAAACTTTTTCCCAGTCGTGGATGGGATATTAATAATATTACAATTATATTAAGAGCAAAAGTATTTAATAAGTTAGCACCCATTACACTCTAGCTTCCTAACCTTTTTCCTTGTGTTTTTATTATAAGAAATGGATAAACTCCTAATATTTTTTTTTTTATAGCGGAGTACCCCTACCTGCTACCTTTCGGACGCGCTAATTAGGTAAAACCTACGGCCCGAGAGCAGTCTTTGTAGGATCATATAAATCCAGAAATTATCTCATTCCCCATCAGCCAGGAATCGAACACTCAACCTCAAGATGGAGTTACCTCCTACCCCAAACTTGATCACTCGCTCACGATCTGTTGGGTTCCTAATATTATAGTTTGTATATAGGTAACATTCAAACGTGGTAGGCCCCGGTTTGCTAGATAACGTATAATATCTCTTTAATTTAAATTCAACTGCAATTTCTTATCTACCATTACAGGACTTGTAGGTGTCACATCTCTTTCAGACAACAGGTTCGATCATATTCAGTTAGATGTAATATGCATTACGTAATGTAACGGATTAAACACATCACAATGACTCGTACATATGTATAAAATTAACCATATAAACCCAAACTCTATAGTTGAACCCAAGAAAATATATGTTTGTCCCGAGCGCGTGAACACATAGCTGGGGCCCACTAAATTTGTTTCCTTTTCTTCCTATAAATATTTATTTCTATCACATTATTAAATAAATAATAGTAACTATTTAAAACGGGAGGAGAGAGAAAACAGTGATTGCGTCAGCGATGATTGTTTCCCCGCCGCAGTTGCGGCTAAGCTGAGGCGGCGTCGTTTTTGATTTGATTTGATGACTTTTGGTATTATATAAATGGATAGATGCGTGCTGGGAAATCAGACGCCTCGTGGTTATGGATTTATCCACGTAACTCAATTTTTTTTTATAATCTGATATTTTAAATCAATAATATAATTTAGATTATACTTTTTTTAAAATTTGATATTCGAATTCGGGAGTTAACCGATTGAAATATCAAAATTTGGATCATCTAACTCAAAATGACCATTTATTTATTAGTCTCTCTGTTTTTTTAGATCATAGTATATTTCTTGGATACAGTCCAAAACATGTGATTATTAATTCATTTTCTTATTAATATATGAAATATATAAGTTTTTTTTCAAGAATCTATTTTCCGTCCTTTTTCCTAATAATACACGAGTATTATTTAAAAATCGTACATCATATATTCTTAAGATCTAGTTCAAGTTATTTCTGACACCCAATTCATCATTTTTTTTATATTCGAGATAATTTTGTCCGTCATTTCTAAACGACGGGAGAAAAAGACACCAATTGTTTTAAAATTAAATATAGTTACTGATTTTACAGCGAAAGGTATATTCCTTTTGTACTAAATTATTAGCGCATAGATCACTCGACACTGCACCTGAAGGGAATCCGTGTGGGACCCGAGGAGAGGAGAACCGTCAGATGCAACCTGGGAATCGAGCGGTTGAGAATGGGCTATATAACGTGGAGGCGGATGCATAGGATTCTGTCCTGACCTTTTGCCATTCAGCCCGACGCACAACCAGGGTGGAACCAATCAGTGGACCTGCCGCCAAATAACGTGAACATCCACAGTTTTGATATTTAATTAATATCTGATAATATATATTTTCAAATCAAGGCATAATAATATCCAATTTAATTTTTTTAGCTGAAGTATACGTATTCGATATGTAAAAAAATAATTTTACAACGTATAAGTGGAATTTCGTTGCTTTCAAATCGGCCCAAATTTATTTTTGTAATTTTACAATAAATTTTCTTCAAGTATATCTGATCACGATATCTGGTGAGGTTCACGAATTTTTATGATTAGGGCTGTGATTAAGAAATATTACCGCAATTGTGATGTTTAATAGAATTTTACGCGGTACCCCAGAAAGGAAATTTTATTCAGGTACAGTTTGTAGGTGTTGGTAATTTGGTAGATGATAACGTAATTAATAAAAAAAGATATGTTTTTGGGCAAATTTAGGGAATTTCATCAAAGATGAAAGCAAATTTACCATAATTGGGTAATTATAAAAGCTTAAATTAATAATTTAATTAAATAGAAAATAAAACAGCTGTAGTTTTACAAGTCGTGGGCTACCTATAAGAATATCAACTCCCATTAAGCCAGCCTCCCTTTTTTTTCCTTCTTATTTTGCTTTTCCCGAGATTTCCGTCTTTCGAATCTTTCTCTCTCCTCCCATGGAACCGCCTCCGCCGCCGCTCTCATCCGCCGCGGCGGCCACCGTTACGACGACTGCTCCTCCGTTCTCGGCCCCTACCCCCGCCGTTGTCCATCCCCATGTGACGTCGTCATACCCCGACTCCGTCGACTCCTCCCCCAGGTCTCGCACCACAGATGGCTGGGACGACCTTCCCGGCCCGGCCGGCATCGGTGGCGGAGGAACCTCCGGTGTGTCTTCTAAGCTCCGGCTGATGTGCAGCTACGGTGGTCATATCATACCTCGGCCGCACGACAAGTCCCTCTGCTACATCGGCGGTGATACTCGCATCGTCGTCGTCGACCGTAACATATCTCTCTCTGCTTTCGCCACGCGCCTCTCCAGCACGCTCCTCAACGGCCGTCCCTTCACTCTCAAGTACCAGTTGCCGAGTGAAGAACTTGACTCGCTCATTTCTGTCACAACCGACGAGGATCTCGACAACATGACCGAGGAGTATGACCGCACAATTTCTTGTCTAAATTCGGCAACGGGGAAGCCCTCGCGTCTGCGTCTCTTTCTGTTCTCGTCGAAGCCCGAGGCCACTCAATCGATGGGACAGATCCTGGAAAGTTCAGTGAAGAGCGACGATTGGTTCCTCAACGCTTTGAATAGTGCTGGGCTTTTGAACAGAGGGTTTTCTGATTCCGATACCAACGTCAATCGTTTACTTGGTTTGGATGATGGTCTTGGTCTCCGGTCTCTTGGCGGAGAAAACGGAGGCAACCTCAATCTGGGCGCCAGAGATGTTGATGGTTCCGTGAAGAGCGCCAAGCAGGAACAGCAGCAACAACAGCTTCAGCAGCCTTCGTCGCAGCCGCAGGGAGGTCAAGATGTGCACTCTGTGCCAGATTCGCCTATGTTGGATACGACGTCGTCGTTTGGGTCAACCTCTTCTTCTCCGTCACTCGCGAATCTACCGCCGATCCGTGTTCATGTCGAGGAAGCCGGTGGAGGTAGGGCCGCGATGCAGGACCAGAAGCTGGGGACCGAAGATCAGTTCGCGCAATTCAACGTCGGAGGTGGCGCCAATAAGCAGTTCCAGCGACAGCAGGAGGATGCATTTGCCACGATCTCGTCGCCGCCGCCGCCGATGCCGGCGACACTCGCAGTTCCGGTTGTGCCCTTGAGTGCTCCGGCATTCTCAGCTGAGTTTCATACGCGGGTTATTTCGGACGATGAGAAATCCGATCAAGGCGTGCCTGCTGGATACAAGAAACCTCCGACTCCTCATTCGCAGCCGCATAATCTACCGCCTCAGGCTCATCTGCAGAAATCCAACGTCGGAGGACATGAGCTGCCATCTCCAGATTCCGTTTCCAGGTACCTTTTCCATTCCCTGCAACTCACTCATCCTTAATTCAAGCTCCATATGCGTTATTCGACCGTATTCCTGGATTGTTTAGGCTAATTACGTTAGGTTCTTATGGGGTCTCTTCTGTTGTGTTAACACCTCAGTGATAGCAGTCTGAACAACGCTCTTTCTCGGCAAAAACCTACGATCTATCACGACGTGGTCGCTCAGATGCCATCCTCTACTACCATAGTTTCCGGTAACCTGCTTGATCCAAAGATCAATCCTTCAAATCCAAACGCACAAACCCAGATTCAGGATTCAGGATACGTGTTGCACACCCAATTCGAGCAACAATCTGCTCAATCACAGCAGCAATTCATACATGCTGCTACTCCGCAGTACATTCATCATCATAATCATCCCTCAGGTGGCGTTCCTGTCCCAACTTATATCCAGGTTTACCCGCAGCAGCAGCAGCATCGACACGCCACACAGCTTGATCATCAGCCTTATCCGGTGTACTATGTCACTGCCCCTCTCCAGGCGAGGCAATCGACCTACAACATGCTCGTTCCTCAATCCGGTAACAGAAATGAGACACTGGATTCTGTGCCATCGAACCATCCCCAGGCCTCGCCTAATCCCTCCATGCCTAATGTCGCTGCTGCTTATAATAACCCCATGAGGACTGTCCCTGGAAGCAAACCCGAGATGGGCTCGGGCGGAGTTTACACAGCCGCCTCGGGTTTAAGCGGTGCTCAGTTCGTTCAACTGCCCACCAGCCAGCAATTCGTGGGTTACCCACAGATTCATCACCCACCTCAGTCTGTTCCCCACACCGGTTACGGCTACGAATTTGCTGATCCTTCTCACGCCCAGATATACTTGACTCAACCACTTGCACATGCTCCGTACCAGACAGTGACAGGATCACCAGCCACAATGGTCTTGCCGGATGGCTCTACTGCTAAGCTTCCGGCCGAGAGCGTGAAACAGCAGATGCGAAGTTCACAGCCGGTGTGATAGAGAATGACGGCGAGAAACAAAGATCAAACACAATTTTGGATGACCACCCGGGTTGGTCTTATATATATCTATATATCTATATACACATAGATATTTAAAAATTAATGCGTTTGTGTGGTGATGTGTTCTGTGAAGTATTTAGAGAATAAGGAACCTTTGGGTGTCGTTGGAGCGTTATATTACATGTCGATGGATACTGCTGCATAGGACCCGTGAAAACAATTTGGTATAAACAGATACTGTCATTTGTATCTTTTTAATGTTTTATATTGTTAAAGATATTGTCATTTATATTATAGTTTCAAAATTGGAAGATTCATCATTCAAAATATACGATTCATTACACATGTGATTGATGACATTGTAAACGATTTTTTTATATTCTCAATAACAAACCGAGCAAATAATAATTACTCATTTTGAAACTAGTACATATATCGACTTTGAACACGTTTGATGGGCTCAATTCAACAATGCTGTGCTTGTAGTCGTACCCACGTGGAATAATTAAATCATGCTTGAAAAAATAACGAGTGTTTATAACCAATATTGCCGAGTAATTTTTTTTTTTGCAGAGAATCTTTAATGAACGAATTAAATGTGTACAGTTAGTAAGTTAAAGATGTAAAAATTATAAAAGAAGAGATGAATCTTAAACTATACAAAAAGAAATATCCGTTCCAATTGGTTGCACCATATTACCCGTCTGTTAGTGCTTTTTTTGGACTTTGGGTTTTATTCTTTCTCAATTGATTTTTTTTGTTATACTTATTACAAGTAATTTTTTTTATATAGAATTTGTAGAATTTTTCGTGATCATAATAATATGTCAAGGTAATATAGTGGGCCAAATGATATCAGGTCGGTCCATTTTCATACCGAAATTCCATTACCGGCACGACGACATCACCCATTTTTCTCCATCCACCGCCGAACGAACCTTCAAATCTATTTATTTCTCTTTTTCCCAGCCTCTCTACTCGCCGCGTGATGTGATGATCGATAATGGCGACGATCCACCACGTCCAATTCACGTTCGAAATCCCTGGGCTTCTTCACTTGGCTTCTTCCTCCGTGCGTTTCCTCCGCCCCTCCGCCGCCGCCTCGCCGTCGCTTCCTCGCCATCTGCTTAGACGGGCTTCTACGACGTTGTTTCGCGCGAGGTCGTTCTCCACCGCAGGATCCGGGGAGTCATTCTCCGTTAAGATCCCCGAGAAACCGCCGATTTGCACCGCCGACGAGCTTCACTACGTCTCCGTTGCCGATAGCGATTGGCGTCTCGCTCTCTGGCGTTATTTGCCTCCTCCTCAGGTCTCCCTTCCCCGCATCTACAAACTCTGTCTAAATTCGTGCTTTCGAGGGATTGATGATCCGAGAATCTGTTGTTTTGCAGGTTCCTGTGAGGAATCATCCGCTTTTGCTGTTGTCTGGTGTTGGAACTAATGCCATTGGCTACGATTTATCTCCTGGAGTATGTTGAATACGTTCCTTTCTCTTACAATTTTCGTCTCTTCGCAATTTACTTGTCCGAAATCTCGTTCTGTTATCCAAGTCCTTTCCCTCTCTCAAGGTTTAAATGTTGGTTGATGTCTAGAAATTTTTGTCTTGCGTGTTTGGATCAATTATGTGGATTTTTTAGATTTGTGAATTTGTTTCACGCCAAAGGCGTGAGCTAATCATGCCCTTGTGAATTTGATATCTACTATTCCGTCTCGTGTTAAATCTGATAATTGTCAACCAAAGTTCCCAGGCTCAAGGAAATCTTTTATCTTTGACTTTCCTAACACCACCCATGTTTCTTGCAGTCTTCTTTTGCAAGATACATGTCTGCTCAGGGATTTGATACATGGGTTCTCGAGGTCCGAGGAGCCGGTCTGAGTACACGTGTGTCAGATCTCAAAGATGCTCAGCAATCTGCTCATGAAGCATCTGATCAAATGGAATCTACTGCCAGAGTTGCAGCTGAACAAACTTTGTCCAGGCAAAAGCAGGTTACTGATGTTGTCAATGGTACATCAGTCGGTGAGGTATCGGCTTGGGATGAATCAACTCTAGTATCCAAACTAACCGCAACTTTCATGCGCTTGTCGGAGAGACTTTCTGGCTTTCTCAGTGAAGGTCAGTCACAAATCATGTCTGCTAAGTTGTTTGACCAAATTGCTAAGCTTTTAGAAGATTCACAGCTGTTTGAACGCTTTAATGAGATAAGAGCCAGACTTTCGAGCTTGATAGAATCAAGGCAAAACTCTGGTCTTGCTAACCAAATCAGAGATTTGACTCAGCGCCTTGTGAATGTTCTTGAGGAAGGCCAACGGTCTGTCTCGCCTCAGTTGATTGATTTACAAGAGCGCCTCTCTTCAACGATAGAAGATTTTCAGAAGCAACTGGACTTGATAATTAAATATGATTGGGATTTTGATCATTACTTGGAAGAGGACGTCCCTGCTGCGGTGAGGTGACATCGGTCTTGCTGAGTCTTTTGATATTACACAGTCCCAATTGGTTCACTGATCTGGTTGTATGCTTTGTTGTTTTCGTCATAGATTGAGTATATTAAAGCTCAAAGCAAGCCCAAGGACGGTAAGCTTTTAGCGATTGGGCATTCCATGGGGGGCATCCTACTCTATGCAATGTTGTCACGCTGTGGTAAGCTATTGTTTATTTTGATGTTGGGTTTTCATTATGTATGATTGTCTGACAACAAAGGGTCATAGATTTAAGCTGTTGTTTATCCCGTTTATTCCATCTCGCAAGCTTTTGAAGGGCGAGAACCTTGCCTGGCGGCTGTTGTGACACTGGCATCATCAGTTGATTACACAACCTCGAATTCAAGGCTCAAATTGCTTCTGCCTCTTGTATGTGGATGTTATATGTTATATATTGCTCTTTGCTTTAGACCCTTTTACCTGAATTGCTGCTGAGTCAAGTACTTCTGTGGTAAACTGATACCAGGAACCTGCTTTTACAGGCAGATCCAGCTCAAGCTCTAAATGTTCCTGTTGTTCCATTGGGGGCTTTGTTGGCCGCAGCTTATCCTCTTTCATCACGTCCTCCTTATGCGTTGTCTTGGCTTAACGATATGATATCTGCAGCTGATATGATGCATCCTGAATTATTGCAGAAGCTTGTCCTAAATAACTTCTGTAAGTCCAAACATTGTTTGCCCCTGGTGTCTGAGATATCTGGTTCTCGCGTATCTGAAACTAATTTAAAGTCTAGTAGTTTACTGTATTTCTCGTTTTCTTTATGATGATTTATGTGCTGTCTGTGTTTCTGCAACTGTCAGGTACCATACCTGCCAAACTTATTCTTCAGCTGACAACAGCTTTCCGTGAGGGAGGTCTACGTGATCGGAGTGGTAAATTTTACTATAAGGATTGTCTTTCCAGAATCAATGTCCCTGTCTTAGCTCTAGCAGGTGACCGGGATTTAATCTGCCCACCCCAGGCCGTAGAAGGTACAGTGGAGTTATGTTTATCACCATATATATGCATGCACGAACCAGTTCACATACATAATGCATAGAAACCTGATAGGCACGCACATACCTTTAATTCCCTACA